AGTAGAGAGGCACGTCGACCCCTTCCACCTGCTCACCCTGCAGCCAGGGAAGTGTGTCTGGAGACCCAGTGGAGACCCAGAACTCCTGCCCACCCAGCGGCAATGAGAATCCCCTCTTCTTTTGTGTCAGAGGAGGTTGAGCGGGGACCCCGAATTCTCCACTTGACAGTAATGAGGCTATGCCTCTCTTCCCCTGCTGGGTGCTCTCAGAGGAGGTCAACTAACCAGAAGCTTAAGTGGGAAAGTTCAACGTCCTCTTCTCAATTGATAGAACAGCTTTGTGGGAAATCAGAAAGGATATAGAAGAACTCAACACCATCAACCAATGGGATCTGCTCATTTATAGATGCGTAAACCAAGAGAAGCAGAATACTCATCCTTTTCAAGTCCATGCTTCAAGAAAGACTATATTCTGGGCCATAGACCAAACCTAAAATTCCGAAGGATTGAAATTATACAGACTGGGGCTTTCCTATCACAGTGGACTCAAACTAAAAATCAAGAAGAGAAAAATAACAGGAAAATCTCCAAATACCTGGAAACTAAAAAATGCCCTTCTAAATAGTCCATAAATCAAAAATGAAGTTTCGAGGGAATTCAGAGATATGTTGAACTGAATGAAAATGAAAATACAACATATCAAGCTTTTGAGACAGGCCTAAAACAGTGCCAAGAGGAAAATTTATAGCACTACATACGCATATTAGAAAAGAGGGAAGTCTCAAGTCAGTAATCTAAGCTTCCACCTCAACAATCTAGAAGAAGGAAAGTAAAATAAACCCAGAACAAAGCAAACGAAAGGCAATCCAAGAGCGAACCGAGAGCAAAACGCGTGGAATGTTTTTAAAAAGAGAGAAAATCAATGAAACAAAGAGTTGGTTCTCTTAAAATAACCATAGAAATGACAAGCCTCTAGTAAGGAATGACAAGGAAAAAAGAGAAAAGACACAAATTGCTAATCTCAGGAATAAAACAGGAAATATGAATACAGACCCTGCAGTCAACAAAAAGATCAAAAGGGAATAAGTACTTACCAACAACCGTCACATATAAATTTGACGACTTAGATGAACTGGACCAGTTCCTCACAAAACGCAAATGACCTCAATTCACCACATATGAACTAGAGTCCTGAGTCGTCCCTGCACTGATGTCAATATCCTGCTGGTGATGGTTTTGTCCGATGTTATCATTGGCGGGAATGGGGTAAAGGGTCCACTGGCTCTATCGGTGTTATTTCTTACGACGGTGAATCTACAGTTATCTCAAAATTACAAGTTTAAGAAGTATTTAAAGGTGATGGGAGCAGGTTATCTATGGACATAATAAACGGGCATGAGTGGATATCATTTATTTAGATTTTCTAGTTGCCTTTGACAAGGCCAGTACCAAACTTTATTGGATTGAGGAAATCATCATGGTTAAAAGACCAAGTCTGGAAACAGATTGTATTTTACCCTTAAAAAGAAAAAATAAACCCATCTCAGATGTATGTGCACACATATGTGTGTTGTGTGCATGTATTTCTCAGCTCGTCCCCTGAAAAGTCCTAGCAACACTGACTAGCTTGATAATACTATGCTATTGTGCACCTCTAGGTCTCTAATTTCAATTTTCCTGTAAAATATGAAAAGGGCTCCTTGAGGAAACACTTGATTCCAGATTTGGGACCAGGATAAAAAAAACCATGATATGGAACCATGTGTTAGCATTCCACTAATGCCAAGTTTATGTAACACATAGTCGTTAGCATTATTGTATTAATTATGATAAAATAAGCTGTCTTGGGGGGTAATGTCTGATACTTCTGTTGAGCTGTCAACTCAAATCCTGTCAGTACTGTAATCATCCATGTCTTAGGAATAGGCTCAGAAGCTCTTAGACTTGGAATGCCTTTGCAGAATATTAATTTAACACACAAAGAAAGACTCAAAGAGCTAAAGCAGTTTTCCCATTGTCACAAAATGATGAAGCTCACCTGCTTCAAGACTCATTAATTTTATACGAAGTAAAAAGTTTTGCCCAACTCCATGCTTCCTACAAGCATCAAACTGCCCTTCTTGAGTGTTTGCACTTGTATGGATTTTGTTAAGTATCTTTTCCACGTAACTTCTCCAGCTGGTGTCTCCAACTGGGAGGTTTTGAACTTTAGTTTTAATGGGAGACCTTTAGCTTTTTGTCTAACTATCCAAGTACAACCAGGATGCCATTCATGAGGACTTCCCAGAGCACATGATCTTGTGATAATGAAAGACTCATCAACATAATCTTAAATAAAAAGCGGAAGCTCGATGTTATGCTATATGTGGTCACAATGTAACGAAACCTTTTTGTTCATTTTACCAAATATTCAATAAATCTGCCCAGTGGACAAAGCATTTTGCTTGTTGCTGCAGAGACAGCTGAGCAATCCATAGTCCCTCCCTCAAGGTACAGCAGGAAGGCCCATCACAAAGCAAGGCACGACAGGAGCAAAGACAGGCAAGGAATGTATTTAGAAAAAATCAGGTAGTCCAACTGTGTGTGTGTGTGTGTGTGTGTGTGTGTGTGTGTGTGTGTGTGTGTGTGTGTTTACTTCAGAATCATCAGATGCCCGTGAAAAGAAGAGGCTAGAATTATAGATTGGAACCATACAGAGGAGGACCCTACACTGCAGAATCAGCTCTGGGACATTAAATAACCTGCCAAAGTCCATATAGATGCAGAGCAGCTTAGCCGGGTGTCTGTGGTCTCTGGGCACTGCTGTCTCTAATACAGGAAGGCATATGCAGAAGCCAAACTCCACGTTAAGTTTTCTCAACCCCAATCCGATGGTCACTGGGGGCCAGGTAATTCTTCACTGTGGAGCTGTCCAGGGCACTGTAGGATGCTTGTAGCATCCCTGTTCTTCCAACCCTTCAGTTGTGACAAACACAAAAGACTCCAGGCACTGAAAGTGTCACCATCATCCCTGGTTGAGAACCACTGCTCTAGATCATGTAAAAATCGTTTATATTCAACACTGTGTAATATGTAACATGATATATAGCTTACATTTTAATATTGGCAAGCCATGTTCTGGCCTAGGGGCAAACTGGATAATTAGATAATGATTGAGAAAGTATCTTAAAGTTGTTTAGTTGTTTGCCTCTTAGCGCAAGCAGTCTTCTGATCCAAATTCATGTTGGAAAATCTGGGAATCTGGAGGGTATATTGGGATTTCTGTGCCGTTTAGGCTCTTGTGACAGCAAAGAATAAAATCTCAGCAAGGCTTTATTGTAAGGATGACACACTTAGGCATTGGAACTTGAAAACCCGGTAGGAACCAAGACTCACTGGGGGTCATCTGGCCTTTTTCTAGCTTCCTCTCACTGGCCACTCAGCCTCTTTCTCATGGATTCTTTCTGTCTAGTTCCTTCTTGCTGCCAATGAGACAATCTCCTCTGGGCCATCCAGTTAAAATTCCCGAAGGAGTCGGGTGATTGTCACCTTCACTGGTCTAACCACCCACACTCCCTCATGGTGATGCAGAACAAAGAGACATCACTGACCAGCTGCCCTCCTTGGGGTCAGTCCTGGTCTACCCGGGGTAAAGGACAGCCTGTGACACCCAACCGTGGTAAAGCAGCAGCAGCTGTTGAACCCGATGAGCCTTGTGACTGATCTGACCCTCAGGACCCCACTTGGGAGCTCACACTTGGCTGAGGCTGAGAGAGACAATAAAACCACGCCTCTCTTCAAAAATCAAGTCTCCCAGGCCAGATGGGAATAACAGCAAAACCAGACAATAAAGTCATTTAAATATGTTCGTTAAGTAAACTGTGACAGAAAAAAAACCTGTTCTTTGAATAATCCAGAATTAATTGTTTCCTGATTTTTCTTTGTTTTAAGGACTTCAGATTTTATTCACTGCTTAAATGATCCAAAGGAGTGCTTTTTTTTTTTAATGAAGTGTAGTTAATTTACAGTGTTAGTTTCAAGTGTACAGCAGTGATTCAGTTACACATACGTACATATATATGTACATATCTGTTCAATATCTATTCTTTTTCAGATTCTTTTCCATTATAGGTTATTACAAGATATTGAGTAGAGTTCCCTGTGCTATACAGTAGGTCCTTGTTGTTTAGTATTTTCTATATAGTAGTGTGTATCTGTTGATCCCAAACTCCTGAGTTATCTCTCCCCCCCCCCGCACCCCAGCTATCCACTTTGGTGACCATAAGTTTGTTTTCTACATCTGTGAGTCTATTTCTTTTGTAAATAAGTTCATTTGCTATCATTTTTTTAGATTCCACATATAAGTGACATCATATAATATTTGTCTTTCTCTGACTTACTTCACTCAATATGAGAATCTCTAGGTCCATCCATGTTGCTGCAAATGGCACTATTTAATTCATTTTCATGGCTGAGTAGTATTCCACTGTATATATATACCACATTGTTTTCATCCATTCACCTGTCAGTGGACATTCAGGTTGCTTCCATATCTTGACTCTTGTAAGTAGTGCTGCTGTGAACATTGCATGTATCTTTTGGAATTAGAGTTTTCTCTGGATATATGCCCAGGAGTGGGATTGCAGGATCATACGGTAGCTCTATTTTAAGTTTTTTTAATAAAGACAGCGCTCCATTTCTCAAACTGACGCCTCATTTCCTTCCCTCCCAAGGTGTCATGAAGTCTTCCTGCTTGGTTTAGAGAGTTTTCTGAGCAGGTGAGGGTTTTTCAGAATAAACAGGCTATGATGGCTGTGAGTCAGCACCCCTTTCTCCTAAACTCACGATTGCAGGAGGGCTCCGGCAATCAGAGCAGAGGAGGCGTTCCTGGCTCCATGTGCAGAAGGAGAGCCTGGGAATGGGAGCTTTGAACTTGCCTGTAGCGAGAACTCTAAGACCTGAAGACACTCTGCTCTCATGAATAATTTAAAACTGCCGCTGAGTCAAATTATTCTTTAAAGGAAACTACTTTCGTGGTCATGTTTAACCATTAGTAATTATGCCACTTTCTTTTATTATAGGTAATGTATGAAATTGTTGGAGCAATTGAAAAAAATAAAGACTCCCTTTCACAGAATCTTCTATTTGTAATGAAAAGTAAGTTTTCCCCGTACGGTTAAAATGCCACACATTCTTTATGTCTCTGTCTCTGAACGTGGTCCTATAAAATATGCCACCAGCTAAGGATAATTGAACTATCTTTCGTGTTCTAATGCCCAGACTAATAAGGAAGGGACCTTGCCATGCTACACACTGGTTACAATTTAATTTGGAGTCTAGTAGAAACCATAATTTAACTAAGCTTTTAGCAGATAGAAATATAAAACACCTTTACCAGTTTGGCATGTGAATATAAAGAAGCTCTTGTGTGAAGACTGATGAAGATGCATGTGGCTTCCACAGTTATTTAGGCTACAGCAGGGTGAATTTCATTACTTAAGATGACTCTGGAGCACATCTAAGGGTGGTATTTTATTCTTGTGTACTTTCAGCTATAAAAAAACTAATGCTTACAAAGTAAAATGAGGGTACAAACTGATATATACATACACACATGCATATATGTCTATATCCATATAAATTTATGGGTGACATCTACTTAGTGAACCTTAGTACTTTATATACATATCTCTATACATATATGTATAATTCTATACTACATGTAAAATGATGTACTGGGTTTATATGTGGTATAATTATATATATCTCTGTATATACATATAGATCTATACAGTTACATATATGTATAGTTCTGTCTCCTCTAGTAATTATTTTCCTAATAGCAGTTCTGCAGTGATTCACAATTTCTTGATAAACCTCTTCAGCGAATTAAAATGTATCATCTTTGTGCTCTAAGTTGCTCTGAGTGAGATGGAGCCACTTATCATTCCTGGGAAAAGAAGCATATCATAGCCTTTCATGAAATAGTTGGATGCCTTTGAGCTGGAAATAAGACATCCATATCACTTCCGGCTGGAGGAATATATTTACCTTAAATGAAATAGTAGAGTTGCAGTATATTGCTTTTCATGGGGACTGACTCTGCTTGCCTCTCAGAATGTATGGTTATTGAGTTCTCTTAAAGGCTGAGACTGATGATAAAAACATGGACTTGGAATAATACTGTGTAAAAAGAAAGAAGTGAGATAATTGATCTTCTTGATTATCACTGGAAATAGCTTCCTTCTAGTTTTCAAATATTTGGACTTTCATTCATAAGATACTTAAAATTTTATAACGTACATAAAATCCATGTATTTTATGAAGAACTAATATACAGCATGTTTTTTTTTGTTATTGTTTTTTGTTTTGTTTTTTTTGCGTACGCGGGCCTCTCACTGCTGTGGCCTCTCCCGTTGCGGAGCACAGGCTCCGGACGTGCAGGCTCAGCGGCCATGGCTCACGGGCCCAGCCGCTCCGCGGCATGTGGGATCTTCCCGGACCGGGGCACGAACCCGCGCCCCCTGCATCGGCAGGCGGACTCTCAACCACTGCGCCACCAGGGAAGCCCTACAGCATGTTTTCAAGGTTGGCACTAGGCCTCCCTTTTTTTTGTATTTCACGGTGACAGAATATGTATTTAGAAAGAAAACATGATGGCTTCAGATATTGCAATTCTGCTTATCTTAACAGAGTCCCTATATCTTAAAGTCATTCTTTTGTGTATGCTTGCTAACAAGTGCCAAGAGAAAACAGGTGAATCTTATTTTATTCTAAATATTTTAGACTGTACATACATCTGAGCAAGACGACAAATTTGCAACGTGCCCTTATCATGTTCATATAAGAGGTGCGAAGCATTTTCTGCAGAGGGCTAGAGAGTAAATATTTCAGGCTTTGCGAGCCGTAAGTTCACTGTTGCAAATACTCAACTCTGCTATGATAATGAGGAAGCAACCGTAGACAATACAGATGGATGTGGCTGTATTTCAATAAAACTTTATTTACAAAAACAGGCAATGGGCTGGATTTGGCTCACAGGCCACAGTTGCTCACCCGTTCTATCACACAAGCAAAGATGCATGGTTGTGATAGTATTTTATGAATCTAAGGAATGCTTTGACACTGCAAATAGTTATTAAAAGCAAGTGTAATGTATAGATAATAGTAATAATTCCTGTCTCCAGGCACCTTGCTAAGTACTCTGCTTACAGCATCTGATTCAATTCTCATAGTATCCAAAAGCTCCCAGGTGTGGAAGGAGGCAGGGTCTGTGGCAGGATCCCTACAAATCCAGCTGTGTCTGTGACACCCCTGACCAGTGCAGACAGGGAGCTGGGTGGCACAGCTCACACAGACAGTGCCCCCGTTGATGCCCAAGATGGGAAATCAAGTCCACTTGACTCAGAAAGAAGCAGGTAAAGTCCAGACCCTTAAGTCTACTTATAAGTAGACGAGATTTTACTATCTGTTGTCAATGATGCTGTTGGCATTTCTGCATACCTGCTTATAGACTGTGGGCACCTCAGTTAGCTCAGCCCGTTTTACGGGCAGAAAGGTGCCCAGTGCATTGTGTCTAGAGCCCAGAGACGGATGCTTCCCATCGCAACGTGTATACAGGGTGACGTGAAGAAAAATGCCTGCAGCAAGTGACTCCTAGAAATAGGGAAGGGAGGCCAAAGCTGTCTCTTCGCTAGGGACTTCCTTCTCAGGCTCTAGGTGGCAACACGATGGACAAATTTCTCTTTTTAATGTGCCAAGGAACCTGCTCTCACCTCCCACTGGCTCAGCTTATGGGCCGGGCTCTACTGTTAGGGTTGAGGCCTGATGGCACCTCCATCGTAGGGCGATGCTACCCCTGCTTTACCTTCATGCAGCCTGGGTGTGTGATCCAGAGAAAGGACAGAAACAGGTCACTTACATGTTTTGGTTCATAGTCATGTCTAGTGTTTATAGATGTAGTAAAGCCTTTTTCCCCAGTTATGGGAGTACCAAGTTGCACTATTTATCTGTGGTTCCATCCATCCACAGACTAGCTAGAAATATAAATAATATTTTTAATTAAGTTAAATAGGCCATGGTGTTATGTGTTTATTGTTTCACTGTTTGTTTTTAAATGATTTCAAACTTAAAGTCACAAAATTAGTACAAGGAACTCCCGGATGCTCTTTTCCCAGATTGACTTTTTTCCTTTCCTTTTCTCTCTTCCTCTCTCCTTCCTCCCATCTCCGTGTGTGCGTGCGTGTGTATGTACGCACACTCTCGGAGCCACTGGAGAATGGCCAAAAGTGTCTTTGTGCCTAAATACTTTGGTCTCTATCCTAAGACCAAGGACATGATCGTAGATGTCCTCAGTAAATTATCAGACTATTAAACATTGATATGATACCAATATCTAATTCAGAGTTTACGTAACACTCTACCATTTACCCCACTAATGTCTTTCCTAATGATTTTTCCCCCAATTCAGGACCATTTGCTGACTTTACCTGCCATTTCTTGTCAGTCTTCTTTAAGCTGGGACATTTCCTCAGCTTTCCTTTTTCTTCATGACATTAATATTTTAAGAAGTGGAAGCCCAGTTTGGTCATTATTTTGATACTAAAATTGCCCAAGACTTGGCCAGTGAGAACCCCTCCAAGCTAGTTCCTATGTCCTTTTGACAGGTTCTCGTGTCTTTTGGGGCACTTTCTTACATTCTGGCTTTTTCCAAAGTGTTCTAGGGTCTTCTACCTTGCCTCAGATCCAGAATTGGCCACTTATCCAAGAAGACTTGATTTATTTTAGAAGTGAATGGTGTTAAGAAACGCTAAGAAATGGGGGCAGGGTGAGCTCACTGCTACTGGCATGTTATTGCTTTTAGATCCTTTCAGAACTAGAAAATGTAAGATATAGGCATAGATTTTACATATATATGTGTGTGTGTATATATAGATATAGATATGGATAGATATATCGCAGTATATTATTGTGATACCTATAATTTCCGGCCAGCACCACAGGGTTCCTTTTTGCCTTCCTGCAATCCATAATTGTATCTCCCTTCTCTGACCCTCCTCCTAGCTCCCTATTTGTTTATTCATATAGCGACTTTTCACTCAAGGCACTGCTAATAAATATACTAGCTGGGCAAACAAAATAATCTGAGTGCAGAAATGGTGGAAACTAAACCACTTTGCTCCTGAACGCCGCCAGCTGTCCGATGGGCTAAGACTGATCCTGAATGATTTATGCATGTTACATCACACTTTAATCTCGCAGGAATCCACAGAGTAGGTACTCGGGTGGTTATTTCACAGAAAAGGAAATTAAGGCTTAAAAACTGTCTACATCCAGATAGAAGTAACCCAAGAAACATGCCTTCTAGATCCTTAACTGTCGCAGACATGGCTTTCACTTTGCTATTCAGATGTGTCCATCCATTCATGAGCCCATTTCTCCCTGAGGTGTCAAGAAAGACATATGGACCCAGAATTACCAGAATTTTTATAACCTAACATCTAATATATCACCTTGCTTTCACCTTTCCAGCTTAACTGGATCAGAAAAAGAGGCACTTTTCCCCCTAACAGCTGAGACAGCCGAATGAGACAGGGGCTCCCCAATGTCTGCATTCCACTCGGAGAGAGGTTCTTCCTGGGGACGTGTGTCCCTGGCACTTATTTTCCTGGAATGGAGAGCTGCTGACCAAAACCATTTCATGACTTGGTCAAGTGCACTGAGGCCCCTTAGGTCTGAGCAGGTCCGATCCAGTTCTGGCTGTTAGGAGAGCAGTAAGTGCCACTCAGCTCAAGAGCAAGGGATTCAGGGCTCAGGTGGGGGACAGGAGAGCATGGGATCTGGACCAAGGGCAAAAAAAGGTCAGGATTCATCAAACAGCATGATGAGTAGTGGGGAAAATTAAAAAAGAGGCAAAAGGAAAAAGGTAGATTCCTAAATTCCCCTCCCCACTCAGAATGTTTTAGTGGTTAGAACGCTCGGATGACGTGTGAGCTTAATGCTTGCATGAATTACGATTTTAATGCCGCTTACGATATTCATTTATTTATTTCCTAGCTAGTGAAAATGTCATGATCAATCATTTGTTCCAGTCGAAACTGTCACCAACAGGAGCCCTCGTACCCTCCTCTCCTTCTTTTAAATTCAGAGGACATAAATCTGCCTGGCTCAGTAAGAAAATGACGCCTACTTCAATGATTGGAGAAAACAGGAATTATCTAGAACTTAGTAAGGTAGGAGTTTCTGTGATCCGTGTCTGGTTGTTTTGAAGTTTGCTTATTAAGCACATTTGCTTCTTTTAAAGAAAAACAAGCACAACCCTCAATGCTAATGGAAATAAATTGATATTTTAATTGAAAAAATTAAAGGAAAGACTGCTTACCTAAAGTACAACCCTCTGAGGACAGTTATAAGAAAGTGCAGTGGAGTGAAAATTTGATAGCAAATAGAGAATCAGTCATTTTATTTGTTGTCTGTGCAGCATCCTTTTTACATCTCATCTCTGTGACTGTCTTTTTGATGAATGGGAGGTAACTTCAGGGACAGTAGGATTAAAGGGAATAAACTTAGCTACCTTATTCTGTTGATATTAATCACTTCAGACGCTTTAGGTCTCTAAACAATAAGCTGTAGTTTCTCATATAGACATAGTGTATTTTTCAGGTCCTAGAGTGTTTTCACTGTGTTTTGTAGATTTTTAATTTATTTCAGCATTATACTAATTTTTTATTGGGGTATAGTTGCTTTACCATGTTGTGTTAGTTTCTGGTGTACAACGAAGTGAATCAGCTATATGTATACATATATCCCCCTCCCTCTTGAAGCTCCCTCCCCACCATCCCACCCCTCTAGGTCACCACAGAGCACCGAGCTGAGCTCCCTGTGCTATACCGCAGGTCCCCACTGGCTATCTGTTTTACACATGGTGGTGTATTTATGTCAAACCTAATCTCCCAGTTCATCCCACCCCACCCCCGCTGCCCTGTGTCCACACGTCCATCCTCTACGTCTGCGTCTGTATTCCTGCCCCGCAAATAGTTTCATCTGTGCCATTTAACGGGTATTTGTCCCACATCAGCGTGGTTGTACTTATAACCTAAAGATTCTGACGATTTGTAAAATAGAACAAAAAATTCAGTGAAGAGTTGTTTCAAACTGAAATGTTTTAAGTTTATGAATTCAGTGCCCAGTTGTAGCCCAGTTTGTTTTGCTTGCCTTTATAAAAACTCTTAAAAAAATGAGAAATGTGGTTGGGAAGGTGTCCAGGACAATCAATCTTAGAAATTCAGTCATTGTAGCTTGCTGAACTGCATTTTCACTTACCAATTAAAATCAAAGCATAATTAAAATCAACTGTATTATAGAAGAATGGCAGAAATGTGTGTAGCGTATTAGAAGTGTGTGTGTGTGTGTGTGTGTGTGTGTGTGTGTGTGCGCTCCTGAGTGTGTGTGTATGTGTTTAGCCATTAGACCCTAGATTTAAGGATCCTTTGATATAGTTGTTCCAGAACTGGACCATCACAGGAATTCAATCTCATTGCATATAAAATGGCATCTTTTACATAAAAAGGACAAAGTGTTCCCCTTGTAAAAAGCTCAATCTTTATTCCTGGTGGTTTCGCTGAAACTTCTGGCCCTTCCTTTCTCAATCATCCTGGAAATCATGAGCAAGAAATCGCCACACACCTCCAAACTGTAATTTTTAACCTTAATTATTAAACATTACCAGGCATAGATGCCATTAGTCTTTTCCCTGAAGGACTGCAAAAGCGAGATAATTCACAGCAGTTCCTCCACCCGGAAAGGGAAATTGAGTGTTCAATTTCAAGATTTATTTATTATGATTTTTCCTTAAGTGTTCCATTCCTCTCTTCCCTCCGAGGGTCCTCACCCCTGCACACCCATCCCTGTGACCAGCAGGGTAGCCATCTACCCACCCTTCAACTGAGCGTCACGTTCGGCTTTGTGTTTGTAGAAAACAAGTTGATCTTAGACCGATCGCTTCGTTTTCCATTCCCTTGTCAGTTACAATTGATCTTTTCAGCTTGACAGTTCATCTCAACGGAAGGAAATGAGCTATTGCCATGATAGCAATAGCACCGTATTGACAAGAGTGTTTCATCAAACTTTTTGTTCTATTGAGACCTTTTATTTTAAGATAAACGATTTTGGATCGATAGATCTGTTGGTCTCAGTCTGTATGATTTCGTGAAATGTGATAATACATTAGTGGCTGAGGTTTCTTTTAACCCCTGGTGGGATCTAATTAATTACTTTCTGCCCTTTCATTCTTCACCCACTGGCTTCATTTTCACTGACTTCTTTTATCTGCATTATCATTTAATCTTTGCTACGTATGAATTATTTTCTTTTAAGAGCTATATATAACTACCTATGGAAGAAAACAGTCTACTGTCATTTTTCACAGGCAAGTAATTTACTAACCCCTTTTAGTCATTAAAATAAAGAAAAAGAAAAGGAAGGGAAAGAAACAATGAGTAGGCCACTGATTATAGTCAAACTTACGGAACAAACCAGTGATTGTTAAAACATCAAATCTTTGTAACGTAAAATATCAATAGTATCCTTTTACCCCAGAGTAAGCTACATTTCATGATAAACATGCACAATTAGTAATACAATCGGGATACCAGGGTGAGTTTATTGTACCACCAAGCAAGTCAACATCTGTCTATTCTCAAATTAAAGTAGATGCAGGTTCGTGACAGCCATGGACTTGAAAGGCTACAGAAATGCTTATTTTACATGTAGCTGCCCATTTTTCTAGCTCATAGTACCATTACAGAAAATCATTTGGCACTGATTTTTATAGTCTGTTTTAAATCTACATCTGCCTGTAAGTGAGTTTATATGAATCAGAGGGTTAATCTTTTCCCTCTAAACTGGAATTTAGTAAAATAAACCTGCTCACCCTTTCCTTTTGTTTTCATTACAGTTATTAAAAAAGAAAGGAAATTCTACATTTCTTCAAAGACTAGAACGGGGAGGCCCGGCCACCATTGCATCGCAACTCAGGGTTAGTGAAGTTTTCAGATTTCAAAAACTTCCATTTTGATTATATCAACTGTAGAGGGTTTACATGGAATTTTCCTTCATTTTCAGCACTTAAAGACCTTCAAAAAAGTAAGCATGCACGCACGCGCACACACACACACACACACACACACACACACACACACACACACACACAAAGCAAGTGAATGCATAATAAATAAGAATCATGGGTTGAAGATAAAGATTTTTATTTAAAAATTGCTTTACCTTGTCAGTCGGTGTCTTCTTTGGGGAATCAGTCGTGCTTTACTTCTCTCCTTAGAAAACTCTGATGGATATCACTGGAAAACTTCAGAAGTGCACTCCACACTTTATTCATTGCATCAAGCCCAATAACTCGAGGCTGCCAGATACTTTTGATAATTTTTACGTGTCTGCTCAGCTGCAATACATTGGGGTCCTGGAGATGGTGAAGATCATCAGACACGGATACCCTGTCCGCCTTTCCTTCTCGGAGTTCCTGTCAAGGTAGGTTTTGCTCTTGTGTCCACTGTTCCCAGGACCATGTTGATAATATTGTAGCGTGGATCTTCTGTTTTCTTTTCTGGCGTTTCTTTTATTATTCATATTCTTTTATCCTGAGTAGACAAAATACTCTGGGAAGCAATGAAATACACTGACAAAGCTTTATATAAAAAGTTACTGGGCTTCCCTGGTGGCACAGTGGTTGAGAGTCCGCCTGCCGATGCAGGGG